CGGGCGCCATGTCGGGGCGGGCGGCCTCGTCAGCGCTCGGCGGCGGAGAGGGACGGGAAAAGGGCCGAGCCGAGGGTATTTGTGACTTGATGGCTTGCATGACAGGTAGTGGCCGTAACGCTCCTCGAGTATTTGTTTCGACAGACGTTCTTGCTTTGAGAAAACTTCCCTGTGACGAAGCGAGGCGTACTGTTTGTGCCAGGGAAGATGTTTGTTCTGTTTGCCAGCAGACCTCCGTCACCGGTAGCGGACCTTTCGGTTTGCGCATCTTGGCGTATGTTTAGAAACCCTTCCTGAGTTTCGGTGGTAATGTTTCAGAGGACTGTAATGCACAAGTCAGCTAAGACATACAGCGGCTTCAAAGATGTTGTTTTGTTCCTTACGAAATTATTTTAGCGCTATAATAAGTCTGTCCATTACAGGTCTCTCAGGAAATTCCTCCTGCAGTCACATTATAAAAATGTCATATGGCTAAGGGGGACTCTATAATAGGTTTTGTATTCATGGTTAACTTAGGCGTCCGTTACCCGACTGTTGTGGAACTGGTGTGATAGGAACATAACAATTTATCACGTTGCAGGTAAAGGAATAAGGGGATGAGAAAAACTAGAATGCTTACCTACTACAGTAGGTTTAATATATGAAATCAGTTTCTTATCCTGGCTCAAAAAAACCAAGAGGGGTGGAGGTTTGGCCTACAGAGTTCAAGCTCATCAGAACTTTTAGGTCACCTTCAAAACCACTAATAGTCTTTCAGCATAAAGAGTGGTTGCTGCTTCTGTTTTCTGAGGCAAATATAATTACCTCACAGAGAGTTTCCCATGGCTTGTAGAGTCTATTATCATTGCCCAGTGTGGTATGAACTACCTGTCCCACACTGCACTGCCGTTCACCTCTTTCCTCCCCATCAGTGCCTCAATAACGTACAGCCCTGAGTGGCATAATGCGCTTTCCAAAATGTCCAAGTCAAGCATCAGAGACTTATTTCTAAAAAGAAGTTAACACCCCCAAACCCTAAAACACCTGAAGGACTAAGTGGACATTTTATGAAAACTTCCTTACTGCAAGGTAAAGGCTACAGCATGGCAACAAAGCAAGAAAATAGAAGATATGTTTCTCAAAAAAAAAAAAAAAAACTAAAAATACATGTTCTCAAATGTAATAATTTTATGATGACATTTGAGAACACTGCTTTCTCACACACTTTCACCACTGTGACAGGACAATTGCTGTCAATAGAGTCCATGAGCCAAGATTTAAAAAATAAATAAAATAAAGAGGGAAGCTTGCAGAGACTGTAAACACTGTGACACCATGACAGCCCTGAAATCAGATGCCACTGATGGATGCCTGGTAGTATTGCATGCATTGTACAAATGTGCCTGAAGAACACAAGTTCCTGGTCAGATCACATGTAACTGATCTTGGCATTTTAAAAATATTCCCAGAATTATCTCTTTTATTTCCTACCTTTATGATGGCTAGACTAATTTTGACTTGAAAGATCCATTCTGACTGAAAATTGTTATGGAAACTTGATTAATTTTTTTGGTGCCTGCTCAGAATTCAGCACACACAGCCTTAGACTTGAGGGTATTCACAAGCCCACTATGTGGCTGAATACAGTGCGATGACTGTCTGCCTGAGGCGTGCAACTGGTGGACTTAACAAGACATATCAATTGCCTCAGCCCAATTTGTGAAGCCCACTCCCCCAAATCAAATTGTTAGAGGTACATTATGTCCACTCCTGTAATTGCCATATAAGCTACGTTCTTTGGATCACCAACACTTTGATGCCCATCTAGTTAGGGAGGGTCCTATGGCAGTTGGATGCAGCCAGCCTCTGGGTGGTGATAGCAGTTTGTTTCTGAGCTGGAACATCTCCCTTTTCTCTACTGGGGAGAAAACTGTGGAGCTCAGGCTAGCTAAAATATTTAGGTCTATGTATTCTGTAACATGTTAGTTGTAGGCACTAACACTGCAAGAAGTATCCTGAGATTAAACACCTACTGGGTTGTGTCTGCTGATGCGGTGTTGAAGAGCAATGCTAACCATTTTTCCACTCTGTCCGTAGTGTGTGTTTATTGCGAAGGTATAAGCATTTGGCAAAGGAATTTGCATTGCAACAGTAAATGCGCTGGTATTCATTTTGAATATAAGTCCTACTAGAAATAATACACCAGAGGTGTAGGGGATACAAATGAACTTAATTGGAACATGAAGTGCATTAAATTCCTATTTTAGCTAACATCCTAATATCGGTTTCCTGAAGGAGTGTTTCTAATGAGTATCTGTGGAATGTACTTTGTTAATTAAACTCATCACAGCCCGTACTGATAGCTAAAAGGGTAAAGAAGGGATTGCTACTTCTCCCAATTGCTTACTAGCAATTTAAGGTTCACCTACAAATGCCATTGTAGCAGATTTCTGAACTGAAGAATTTTCCCTCTAAGGATTTTTTTATTTTTTGCAAAACCTGATGCTCCTGAAATTCACCCTGAACAAAGAATTTTGAAGTAATGTCAAGTGATGTGTGTAGCAATTACCCTTGTAGCTGTAGACTTCCTTGAAAAATACATGCATGTTTCTAGGCATAGATTAGCAAAGAACAAACTGTGAAACATGGCCTGGGTACTTCTGCAATTGCAAAATCATATATCTGAAGCCTTTCTTTCATTTAAAAAAACATTTTTGCTGCAACTGTATCCTTTAGTGTAAGGCATGCATGTTTGAAGATACATGCATGTTGAAAAAAGATCAGCAGAAGAGTATTACAAATATCCCTTCCTGTATACGAAATGCTCTGACTGTCCTAGTGTACAAGACTTCCAAACTTTGGTAATTCAAATTTGTGCTTTTGTAAGCACAAAGTAAAACTGTAGTTTAAGAATTAGTACATTTTTAAAATCACTTTGCTATAGTTCTGTACCACCTTTTGTCCAACTCTTAGACTGTATCTATCCTGAAGAACTGACAGTCTTGTACAAGGAAGTTTCACAGTCCTGTATATCGTTGATGTCTAAAAAATAGAGGCAGGCACAGTTTTCTACAATATGCAGTAGTGTGCAGAGTTAAGTTCAAGTCAAAATAAACTTTTCCATTTTCCTGAAAGGTGATGGAAGTAGTAGTAGTAACCGGCACCTTCTATGGTATATAAGTAGATAGAGTTATTCTTACAGTTTAATATACAGTCTTAGAATATTAAACATATCACAGCTTTACTTGAAATCCACTAAAAATCTTGCACAGAATTCAAAATAATTAAATTATTACTGGAAAAAATACATATTTTGAAATAGAACTTTTCGAGTAGATATTTTGACTATTTTAAGTGAATGTAAAAGATGGCATGGTTTGTTCTGCAATAGTAAGATCTGGTCATAGGGAAAACCAAAGCAAACCAAAACAAGCAAACAAAAAACAAAACAAACAAAAAAACCCACAGAAATACCTGTACTCACCGCTTTTCTTTGACTGCTGCCTTCCAGCCTAAAGATGCCTTCATGTCAGAGGTCTTAGGCATACTTAGTTTTTGCAGCATTTAGAATAGTGATGCAGTGCAAAGTAGTGAAATCAATGTGCCCATGGTGGGTGACCCGCCTGCACACTGAAATGCTGGAAATTCATGACCTTCCGTTTATTTCTGTCTTCTGGAAATGAGTAGATAGTGTGCTGGGAGACAAATGATGAGAACTTATAAAAACACTAAAATATCTGTCTCTGCAGGGAGAAGCCACTTTTTACAGACTTCTGGAAAGTGCTGAAATGAAAGTCTGACTCAATCCAGGTGACAATGAGTTAGAGATCCTTTGGGATGAAAATGTGATTTTAGTATCAATTATTACTGAAGTTATCACTTGATTCCTCCCCAAGGAGGTCTTACAGTTCAGGACAACCTGTATTTCATCCATATTTTTCCAGATCTAAGTTCTATTTCAGAAAGCTTCTCAGGCATATGCTGAGCTTTATTCATGCAAGTAGTCTTACTCACATGAGACCCTGATAAATCCGAGTCAAATGTTCAGACAGCTTTGATAAAACTCTGCTGGGCAATGAACTTCCATACTTTTAAGTTATAAGAAGACTTTGAAAATGTGAGAAGCAAAACCAGATAGATAATGGGGATTTCTTAATTTTTAAAAAAAACACTAAAAGAACTAACACACCACATAACAAATCAAGCACATGAAAGCAAAATAGTTTCACGCAAAAGCAAAATTTATGATATGTTCTTCAGTATTTAAGCATGATTGAAGAAAAGAGTCCATGGTAAATTCCATGGAGGACAAATAGAACTTTAGCTTCTGCTTTGCATTTCTGCTGTTGTGGACTTAACTTACAAACTTGATGATGTAATTTTATGAAGACTGTCACTGAACTTTGATTTTTAGGTAATCCATGTCCCTGGGCTGCCCAGCTTCCTGAAATTGCAGATTATTGATTGTTTGTCTCTGCAAGAGTAAAATCTGCTGTTTTATCCAAAGCTGTTCCCATTTCTTTGGTATGCCTCTACCCCTGGTTTCCAGATCACTGCATCAGAACCATCACAGGCACAAGCACTGTTATTACAAAACCTT